TCTCCTTTTCAACCAAGAGTAGTGAGATGGATTCAAGTGACAGCCAAGGAAAAATGACTTCTGAGGAAAGCCTGAAAGAACTAAAATGATTTAGTCTGGGGAAGAGAAGTCTGCGTGCAGATTTGATAACCATCTTTCAAATACCTGAACAGTGGTTATATGGAGGATGGAAATAAATTATTTGCTGTGACTGCAAGGGATAGGACAAGGAACACTGATTTAAATTGCAGCAAGGGAAATTCAGGTTGGATATTAGGAAGTACTTCCTCACTGTGAGAATGGTTAAGCATTGGAACTGGTTACTCAAAGAGGCTATGGAAACTTCATCCTTGGAAGTTTTAAAAGCAGCTTAGATGAAGTGTCTGGGACGGTTTAGACAGAGATGATCCTGCCCTGAGCACAGGATTGGCTCATATGACCTCCTGGAGGTCGCTGCTGGCCCTACTTTTCTATGATACTAAGCCATTAATTAAACCAGTCAGAACTTCTAATGCTTTTAGAATCTTCTCCATTGCCCACTGAAATCAAGGAAAGATTCTCTGTGAGATCAAAAGGTATGAGGTACCATTAACCTAGAAGCTTCCTTTAAAGACTTAATTTCAGAAAAATATGTTTGGCAACCATCGATCCTTCCATATCACGGTGTGTGCATGAGAAGCCAACCTAGACCTTCGACGCATATGCCTAGGCAGAAATTTGGAGGAGTGGAGGCTTCCCAGACCTTCCATCCCCACTTTAGACCACTGAGAGAGAATCTAAAGGCCAGACTGAGTCCAGACATTTGGCGCCTCCATAGCTGTAGTTGTACAAGCAACCAGGAATACAAAGCCAGGTCTTCTGTGTGACAGACAAGGATTCTACCACTGAAACACAGGAGACTCCTAGAAAAATATAAATGTCTGGAAAAAAGATATTTTACTTAAAACTTATTTTAAAATGCTTACTCTAGTAATGGCTTCATATAAATACCAAAGAACTGAAACCAAAAATAAAATAATGTACTGTCATGGAAGCAGCTTATTCTTTCTTTGTATCTTAACCAATGCAAATCATCATTCTTGGCCTTAACACTAGCAACTTTGCTCTTCTTATGAGTGTTCGGAAAGCTGCTGCTAATATGATCTTTCTGGCTTAAAACTCTGTATGCATTAAATCCCTCTGAGTCTCCCTCTCTCTCTCTTCAGCCCAATTCTCTCACTCTCCTTCACCTCCACATCAAATGTGAGCCTTTCTTTTAAGACTGTTCATAGCTTAGCCAGACCTACCTACTTGATATAGTAATTTATAATGACCTCAACCCTGTCCTCACCCTATCATTATTTATAGTCAGTCACCTTCTCCCTTAATCACCTTCATGCTTCTCCCATGCTGCTCCTTATGCATGCAAAAAAACTCCCTAGTCTAATCCATGGAGTGATTACTTCATTTTTCTTCAAATCCGACCTTTAGATTCACCTCTGCTGTGATGCTTACAAAACATAGTCTGTTGATGGCTAGACAGATGATGAGCTGTAACTGACCCTTTTCCTCTTCTTATGTCTTCATTCAACCATTTCCCCATTTTGGTAATGTATAAGCTAAAATCTACCCCTGCCAGAACAAAACAATGACATGGCACTAGCAAAACTGCCAATTCTTCGGTATTCCTTGACTTGTAACAGCTTCATGTTCTAACTCCCTGCCCCACATACCCAACTGCTTTATTCTTTATCAGCTTTGGCTTTTAGGTTGTAATAGTATTACCTATATTTGCACAGTGCTTATCATTGTGGGCCCCCAAAGCAGATTAAGACATTCAGACACTGAATTGACAATAACTACTACTGATATAAATTATATTATTAAATACAGTTAATGATGTCTTGAGACAGAAAGCAAGAAAGGTATATATGGACCATATTCTACATTACTAACATTGAATAGGATCTTATTGGCAAGAAGCCCCTTCATATATACCAAGCAGAATAAAAGAATTATCAGGTTAAGAAGGGGTAATAGAATCATACCACCATTTATTTTTTGGCTTTGTAGAAGCCACACTTATCAGGTCTACATTTAGAGTAATGGTTGAGTGCTGAGACATCGTACTTTTAGTGGCCAAAGATGCTGGTAGAGGAGATTAGATGCAGTTTATCCATTTTAGAGAAGTTTACCTCCTTTTTAGAGAAGCAGCATAGGTTCCTCTTAGTTCTAAATCCTTGTTCTGCTGTGCTATAGGGAGCACAGACTCAGCCATACCACCTGGAACACTTCTTCTGCTAGAAGGTCTCTACCACTACTGCCTCTTCTATACTCATGCTTACAAAAATACTGGAATTCTGGTTGATCATTATGTAAGAAAAGGAGGAGTTGGGGAGCCATTTTTGTCCTTCTCCACCTCTCATGTACCCTTGTCAGGCAAACAGAATCCAGCACATAATTTTTAAAAATAAGGGCAATAATTTATTAGACTTTGAGAGACATCAGCACATCTTTCAAAGAAGATTCTGACCTCAAATACTAGTGTGACTTCTGAAGCAGGTAGTTATACATATACATGCTTTGTGAAAAAGTAGATAAACTTACTGAGAATTCTTGGATGAGTTTTTGAAGTTCACTGTGACCATGCTTTCTAGCAATACATGCTGGGTTTTCTCCATATTTGTTGGTTGTTCTGCAAACCTCAGTTGCCTTGGGGCACTGAAGCAGAAAACTAGTAAGGTTCTTTAATCCAAATTTAGCTGCACAGTGGAGAAGAGTAGGAAGTTCTTCCAAGTTTAAATCTGCATATGAAAATAAGTAAAAAATAAATTAATAAAAAGATAGTGGCTTTTATATAACACATATCATCCTCTCTTACAAAAACTTCCACGGTTCAGTGATAACATTGCCTATTAGCATCCAACTGTCCTTGTAGAACTGGTACTCAAACAGCAAATGCTTATAACTAGAAGTTTTATAATTCAAGTAGTTATCATGCATTTCAGTAACAGTGTCTTTTCTTGCTTTGCCATGACTGAGAAGTCCCATTTTCTCTGTCAGATGAAATTGCAAAAGCAGTTTAATTATTTCTACAGCAAAAAGAATGAGAGCTGGACACGGCCCCAGGGAAGAAAATTCTACAGTATAGGCACACTTCCCCATAGGTATGTATTACTAAAATACTTGAGATATTTTTGCCCTCCGTTGCTGAATTGAACATGACATTTATAGATGATTGCGCTCCTGTATTCACACTAATATCACCTCTTTGCACACTCACATAGCAAGATGGCATCTGCAAATATTTGCCTATCAACTTAATGAAAAATCCAGCATGTTTTGTTTTTTATTTTTAAAATATGTGTATTTGGGGATGAGATACTGACATACCAGGACTGTAGTTTTTCTTGTCTCCTTATTTCTCTTTTGGGAAGGTAAGTGAGAAAGTTAAGCTGCAGTCATGTACTATGAGTATTCAGCATTATCATGGTAGCAGAATGGCAAAATCCTAGCAAAAGATGGATTCGAAAGCTCTTGCACTCAGGGAAAAAATACAAACTCCAAAAGAGAATCTTATGCCAGTTACTTAAATAATTGGTTCATTTTAAACAAGGAAACAAGAATAAGGAAACTCAGAAGTATTTGCCCTATAGCATACTGAGTGCAGAAATATCTGATAGCACACTTTGTATTGTTGACTATATCAACAAAGAAAATCTGTTTAATTCCTAGCCAAAAACTTCAAAGACAATGTCTAAAGCTGCCTTCCAAAATCCATATTTAGATAACTAAATATAAAGTGGCCTGACTTTCATGCATGTTAAACAACTATAAATCAAACTGACCACAATGGGAAATGTAGGGCCAACCACCTTCAAAAAATCAAGTCACTTATATTTAAAAAAATAAGCAGATTCAGGCACCTAATTATAGACACCCTGCTTGAAAGATTTGAGCTTCTGTTGACAGGATGCTTATTATTATTAGCTATATAGTTATTATTAGCTATAAGTAATTAGCAGAAAAAATCCCTACAGAAACAAACATAAACTTTAGAAGATTAACAGTTTAAGTGTACACAAAGAATAAGAGGGCTGGACAAAAACATTGAAGATAGATCTAATTCTGTGCATTACACAGGGTTCTTATAAGAAGAGAAAAAGGTATAAACAATAGTGGACATTTCAAAAACATCTACAAATTCTTCCAAAAGTTGTCTATTTTAACTTCTTCCTCCACAGGTTTCCCTCAACAAACTAAACAGAGAGGTAATCAGCCACATCAGTCTGAAGTCAGGTAGAACACATCTGACAAAGTAGGCTATCACCTATGAAAGTTTATGTCTCCTGAACCTGCTAGTCTCTAAAAAGAAATAAATAGTGAGAAAAGTTTACGGTGTAATTTTGGAGAGGAGCTACTAATAAAAAATTACCTGCAACCTGTGTCATGCTAGCATACTCTAAGAAGTTAAATATTTTAGGCAAAGAGACCTTTGATAACATGTTGTGACATGCTCCAGGAAGACTTCTACTCCTTTAATTTAAGCCTGAAATAACCGGCCACAAATATGAAACAGGCACTGACTGTATCTTATAAATTCCATTCAAACACATTACATAACATGGATATCATAGCTGGTTAGTTCCCTCACTAGCTCCTAAAAATCCAATGTTATTCTCAAGTCCTTTGAGACCAACCCCTCAAGTCACAATTTTTATTAACTCAAACACCTGAATTTGCAAAGCAACAAAATAAGCAATTCCCTTGATCAAAAACTGTTAGCATAAACCTTTACTTTTGTGTCTGTTTGCTCCAACCTGCCACAGGAGCCAACTTCCTGCTACAACTTCCTTCCTAATGAGTTCTCTCAGCTTTTATAGGAATTGTTTTAACTTCTTCCCAGCAGGTCTGAATGTCAAGCAGTATAGTCAAGTGAAAAAAATTGGCTCTCACCAGCAATCATGCATTTGTGATCGTGAACCAGAAGTCGATGCTTCCACTTTGCTCTACGTACCTGGCTGTGTCCCTACACTGTTCAGTAATTTTAAGAAACTTCACTAACTTATACACTCATTGGATGTAATTGTATCCGAATTATGGAATAGATAAATCTAACAGCTTCTCATTATGAACTCAACTCTGAACACAAAATGATGGAACCAAGATATTACATGAGGGTACCTATTGAATGAAGCCATTATGATATTCGAGATAACAAACTCAACCAATCATTACCCTTTCTCCCCAGAATTGCTTTCTGCAATTATGTTGGTTGAAATGAAACAGTGACATGAGGGGTAAAAAACTCTTATAACAAATATTCACTAACTGATTACTTAGCTTCCTATTGTCACAGGGCTGGCTCCAATTTTGGTGGTATTAAACTCTTCTGCTACGTACAATGGAACTTAAAGACTGGTTGAACAGAATGCTCCAGGCATTTTCCCTGTACTAGTTATGCTAAATAGCCAATGAGACAACTTGGGCTTTAAAAAGTTAAAATATTGTAAAAAAATTAAAGTTGCTATGCATCATTGACACTACTTGATATCCTGAGATCACTAATGGTATCTCAGGGTAGCATTCGATTTGGGTTTCTTCCCTAATTTTTAAAAATGAAAAAATATTGACATTGGCAAAACAAAATTAAGTGAGCTTCCAGACAAAATACACAACATTAAGCTGGACAGTATTTACACACACACACACACACACACACACACACACACACACGAGGGGTATTCAAGAAAATATTGAGACTGATGCTGTAGGAAACAAAATATTTTATTTACAGGGGTTTTGGCATAATCTCCTCCCAAGTATGCTCCTTCTGCAGCCACACACTTCTCCCAAAGTTTCTGCTATTCTTGGAAGTACCTCTGATAAGCAATTTGTGGAATTGCTAAAAGCTGCTCAGTCGCATTTTGTTTTATGGTTTCTATATCACAAAATCTTCTTCCTTTCAAGGTTTTCTTTAGTTGAGGGAAGAGAAGAAAGTCACATGGGGCCATATCAGATGAATGTGGAGGCTGCAGCACTTGTAGGATACAGTGTTTGGCTAAAATTTGGCCAAAAATTGCTTCACAAGCTATGTTGAGTGGGCAGGCACATTATTGTGGTGAAGCATCCAAGAGTTGGAAACCTGCTTTTCTGGTTGTTTTTCTGCTTGTTTCATTCCCAAATCACTGGTTAGAAGTGAATGACATGAACTAATATTCATTCCATCTAGGAAGAGCACACACCAACTGCAGAGACTTCCTCAGCCTGTCAAAGGGCTTTTAAATCCGAAAGCTTGCTAAAATTTTTTTCCAACTATTTTTGTTCTAGTAAAAGATATCAGATTCACCCAGAGAACCTTGTCTGCCTATGAACCAACGGAAATTCCAACTTCTGCTATCTTTCAGGCAGTCAATCACCTATCATTTCGAACCAAACTGCTCACCGTTGCCACATTTTCATCATTTTGTGATGTTGAAGGGCGTCCGAAACGCTCTTCACTTTTGACTGATGATCATCCTTCTTTAAACCGAAGATACCATTCAAAAACTCTTACACAGCTTATAGTGTCATTACCAAATGCTATTTTAAGTAATTCAAATGTTTCACTTGCTTTTTTCCCTATTTTCATGCAAAATTTAATGCACACATATTGTTCTGGACACTCTGACATAACGAAAGGGGACGCGAGACACAAATGATCTTACTTCAAATGCTGGCCACAGAAAACTGGGGAAACACATGAGCTGCAAGCCTGTCCAGAGGAGTCCCAACATGCCCAGACATGTTCACCAAAACCACACCCCCACCCAATACTTTGTACCACAAGTACAGGTTCAGTCTCATACTTTTTGAACAGAGCTTGTATGCATCAGTAGTTTAACAGGGAGGAAGGTGGGAGGTGGGCAGGAATGATCATAAAGAACCCAGGAAACACACAGTTGAAGTTAAGCTTAAAAACTGCAAGCAAGGCCCCTGACAGACAGTACACTTAAGACTTGATTAACTGGTTAATCACATTGTGAACGGGTTGTGGATCCTGACTCTGTCTCCCTCTGAACTTGCCTGCCATGACTTAGATGGGAAAGATAATAAGAGGGATTCAGTGGTGTCTCCCTGTGCAGAGTTAGTAGTGTCACCCATGTGTTAATTTCTCACAACAAAGCTTTATTATCCCTGCAGGGCTTTGGAGAACTACCAGAACCTTGCTAATTACTCCATTAGTGAGGGAAGTCCAGGTCACAGATAAGGTACCTCAGATCCGAGTACATCAAAGATACACTGTATTCTCTACAGTCCTTGCCACTAATTGCCTTGTTATAGCGGCGTGTTCTCCGCGTCTTCTACTTATGCCATGTGCTGGGACCTGCACTGGCTTCCCCCTTGCTGTCTGTCCTGTCACACTTGGCGTCATTGCTTGTCCGTTGGGTTAAGGCTAAGCCTAGCTCTCCTTGCCCGCCTTGCCCCAGGGACCTTCTCTTTCTCTCCCAGCTTCCTGCCGAACTGCTTCGTGGAACTCCAACTCTTCGCCGGACTCACCAGAGCACCTGCAGTTCCCCAGTAAGTACTTAGCTCTGTGGCTGACCTGCTACCATCCCAGATCCTGGCGTCCTGCGGAGTCACATGCCCAACTCCCAGTACTTCTCTTTTCTGGGATCCAGGTTATCCCATGCCAGTGCCCGAAGGCAACAAGTATGTGCCCCGTCACTGGATATATACTGGTAGTGGCGGGCTAATCACTCTACCCTGCTCCTGGTGCATGATTCCCTCCACCTGGCTAGGTATATCATTGGGTCAATCTTGC